TCAGACACATGCACAACCCATACACCCCCGAAACACCTCCATCCTCAACAAACAACCACACACACACAACACGCGCACACGCGCACACACACGCACACACACACACACACACACACACACACAAACGCTGTATCCATGGTAAAACAACAACAAAACGAACAAATCTTGTACAATTGCTCCTGCTCTCTATTGTCAGCTACATCGTGCAACGTCGCACTTCACGCAGGTTACAGTCCAATGGTGATTGTCTCCCCTGGCTATCCAAACAACTACGTAAAGTAAGTAAAGAGTTATAATAATATGATGAAAATGTGTGCATGATTCACGACCAGTTCACTTGGATACAGTTCCCGGATCAAAAGATGTATACACATGTAGATACACTTCGCCTTGATAATAATGCCATCAATTTAAATATGCTTTGACAATGTGTAACCAATATGGATGAGGCTAATGTTCTCTGTTTATATGTCTTTCCCTTTCTTGCAGTGGATTGGACTGTCAATGGACTATAAATGCACCGATAGGAAGCAACATCACGGTGAAAGTTCTGTTTCTTGATTTGGAAAAGGGGCCATCGTGCGTGAATGATTATCTACTGTTTAAAGATGGTAGGTAAAGCTTGGGATGAATGATGTGTTCCTCTTGATGGAAGCAATTGTAGCTAAAGCTCTTGGACATGATATATTTGCATTGTAACAGGAGAAAAATAAAGGAAGATTAATATTTTCATGATTACTACTTAAATACGAACGTCATTGCAATGTGTCTTTCTGAATATGGGTTTCATTTACATCGGAAGATTATCACGTTACTTTGTTTTTGTAGGTGTGTGCTTGTGGGCCTGTGTTGGTTGATGAGTGTATGAGGGCTTGTATGCTTTCTTCAACATCACACAATATTTCACTTATGTAAAGCTGTATTTAACTGAATCAAATTTGTTTATTTGTTGACTAATACAGCATTGCACTCCATAGTGTCCCAGATAGTGCATATTTACAATCGACCAGACAAAATTAATTCAGGGTGCAATATTGTAAGCATAAATGAGGGGTATGGTGACACTCAACCAACTTGCCAGTTCCGTTTTTAGATATTCTGGTGTTCGACAAGGGGAAAATCTTTCTCCATTAGCATTTTCGATGTTTCAATAATTTAGATGTTTATCTTGAGGACAAAGGCTGTAATGGAGTTGACGTCAATTGTGTGTATGATGTCTTTGTGTACATGTGTATCAAATTCATTATTTTGTTATATGCAGATGATGCGATACGTCTTGGCGAAACCCAGAAATAACTTCAGAATTTTGTGTGTTAACATAGAAAAAAGTAAGATTATTATACTTGCAGGGGATGTCGGTAATAAATCTAAACTGTCTTTTCAGTTTAACCAACTGAAATTTTAGATAATTATGTGTATCTTGGCATCAACTTTCAGCGCAATGGGAGACCTAATTTCGCAATAAATTATTTATTGTCTTGCTCTAAGAAGACCATGTTCACACTACTGAAAAAAAATCAATAAAACCTTCATCTGGCACTTTACACTGTAATCAGTCTGTTCGATATTTTCACACTACCTCTTGCGTCATATGGGAGCAAAATATGGGGTTATGAAAATACTGTAAATACTGAAACATTTCAATTTCAATTTCTTAAGTTTGCTGTTGGTTTATGATCATCAACTCCTAACTTTATGGTTTTTTGGGTGAACTGGGTCGTTTCCCTGTGAACATTGCAATAACTAAAGAATAATCACATTATGGTATGACTTACAAACCGCAACTTTCCCGTCTAAGTTATCCTTGCGTGTTCTTGAACTCTTCAAATTCGACAGCACCCCCAATCTCTGTAAAAATAATGGATGGATATCTCACGTATAAGGTATTTAAAACAGGTAAGGCTTAACTTATGTATTTGATAACCCTAGTTGTGTCTGTAAACAGTGGCTTGTCTTTGCGATAGAATCAACGCTGAAAGGTCATGTTATACAGAAATGGAGGGAAGATATTGATAAAACCTCAAAGGGTAACTATTAACTATTTAAAGATCTGCCTTCGTTTGAAAACTACTTCCTACTACTTGCCAACGTCGCTCGGCCCATTATGTCATTTCGAACATCGATTCATCATTTACCAGTAGAGGCTGACCAAGTGGATATACCAAGAATAATAGAACGTGTAATGTTTGCAATTTTTGGCGGGAGAAGACAAGTTCCATTACTTATTGAAATGTTCGTATCGATAACATAAGATCACCATGTATTACGATTTATTACAGTAAATGGCCGAATTTCGCAAAATTTAAACTATTCCTTACCTTAGATGATTATGCAGTTGTTTAGAATATTTCACGATTTTTAAGAATTATCAATAACACTATAAAATGATGAACACACTAATATATTCACTGTTACCTAATGAACTTAACGATTCATTATTTATGTTATAATTGTATTTATATTCTACCTGTTCCACCAACAGGACCAGTTATTGAAAGGCGAAGATCTTCCGTTTTGCATCCTTTGTGATGAAAGAATCACGGTCAAGCATGTCTTTCTTGACTGTGTTGAATATTCTATCATAAGGGATAACTATTTAAAATCACGAACTATGAAGGATCTTTTTTAATAATATCAGTTCTCCTTTAGTTATAGCATTTCAAAAAGAAATAGATTTGTTACATTATTTGTTAATGTGTAAATATTTTATGATTGGAAGTTTAAAACAGTAACTCAGATTGTTAGTGGCTGTATTCTCAAGGAGTGTTAAAGTACTAAAAAAATTATTGTCCTCCTGAGAGTATACGTAAGTCCCAAAACATTCAAAGTCTATTTAAATCTATCCACTCATTTTAATCGTAGAATAAGTGACTTTTTAATGTATGGCTAGATGTGTCTAAATTGGTAACAGCTGAAGGGATGATGTAAATCCAGCTAGGGTCCATGCAGGAGGCAAATATACTTTAAGTCCCCATGGTTCCTAGTATGTTGATCTACCTTCAGTTGTTGGTAATCTATAGCCTGTTTTTACAATGTTTTGTCATTTCTAGTTAAAATGTTTTAGATTTAATTGCTAGTTTTAAACGGATATCTGTGATACCCTAGTAGTTTTACTGTTCTTCGTCAACAGACTTTTAATTTCTTATTTTATTTATCTATAATATAATTATTCATTTTCTCGTCATGATATGGCTGAAATATTGCCAATGTGACGATGCATATTAAATCACTCACTCACTCCTGTACCACAAATGTTGGTTTATCGGAATACAATATTGAATTAAATTGAATTGAATTGTCACCCAACCTTACTGTCACTTAGTCTTACTGTCACATCCAATTTTTTTTGTCACAGCCCAGCCTCATTGTCACATAGCCTTATTTGTCAGAACCCTGCCGTATTGACATCCAGCTTTATTGTCACCCATTCTTATTATCAGCTAGCCTGATTGTCACAACACAGCCTTATTGCCACAACCCTGCCCTATGGTTACAACCCTACCTTATTTTCCAGTCAAGTGACCTGCGCTTAGAAATATCAAATGTACCTGAATTCTCAGAAGGAATTCCTGCATGAACATTTAATACGAAAAAAGATATGTAAATATCTAGATCTGAACACTGAAAAATGAAATCTACCTTCTGTTGCGAATATCTAAATCAGGTAAGAGGGAAAGGTTCATATTAGGAAAATATTATCAACTATAATTTCCGATGATGGTGTAGTGTGTGGCAACGTGTTGTATTTCTAACAGTGATCATAACTACAGTCAAACACTGATGTGTCGAATGTACGGATGCGTAGAACACAATATCTTGTTCCCGTATATCGTCAGTATTCATTTACCGTTACTGTTGTACTGAACCTCGGTTACGAATACTTCACTTCGGTGACTTCATATTGTGGAGAATGTTGTGTGATTGTATACTGAAGACATCGTAAAAATGTACAAATAAAACTTTATTCATTATATGTAATTAATGAAAGATGCACATTTAATACATTTATGTTTAAGGTTCGTCGATCTATGCTCGCCAACTGGCAAAGATTTGTGACAGTAGGTCTACTCCAATCGTCAGCTCCAGTAACCATATGACCATCATGTTTCACTCAGACAGTTCTGTCACAAGAGGAGGCTTTCGTTTGCGGTACTCATCTGGTAATAATCTCAGCAACTGTTTTTAACTTTTACGAAAGGATACGTAAGTCCCAAAACTTTCAAGTCAATTTCGCTCAACCATACTATTTAATCGTAGTATTTTGGTTATTTTACATTTCGGCTAAATCTCTCTACTATCGCCAGCGGCTGAAGGGATGTAAATCCAACTAGGGTCCATGCAGGTAGCAAAAGTAATGTAAGTCCCCCATGGTTCCTAGTATGGTGATCTACCTTCAGATGCTGGCGATCTATAGCCCGTGTTTTATATTGTATTATCTGCTTTAATTAAAATGTTTTAGTTTTCCATGCTAGTTTATATCCATATCTGTGATACTCTAGCCATTTTACGTTCCGTCGATGACTGGTTATTTACCTACTTGTATTTATTGTGTATGTCTAACATTTCTCGTCACTATATGGCTGAAATATTGCCGAGATGACGTTAAATTGTAACTCACTCACTCACTTTTACAAAAGTCATTGAAGTCAAAGTCTGGTTCTTGTCTTCATTTAGAAAATATATATTCCTGATGACCAGAAAAATATAATGTTCAGCCAAAGAAACATAATTTCCTCACGACCATAGAGACCCATTGTAGGAAAAGCTTTTTCTGTGTTTTTACCCTGTTTCCCGCCATAGAGTAAGTAATTCTTTTTTGTAAAAGATTTGGAATCTGTGGAGCATAAAAATGTATTTTGCATTATCATTCCTAGCTATTTCTGCATTTAAATCTAAATGAACTACACGTTTATTTGCTTCGTCATCTATAACCTACTCAATGGTTTTTAACTCTGAAAGCACTTCCCCACTATCATCACTTCCATTTTTTGTTTATACAGAGAGACCGCATGTTTCTAACTGCGGTAGTTCATTGCTCACCGCCCGCAAATACTCCTGGATATATTTGTCATCCCCTGGGTACCCCTTCAGCTACAACAAGTAAGTAGACATATTCATCATCCTTGTTGACAAAACCCGTTTTCGATAACTGGCAAATTGATACAGTGACCCCAAAAAATGTTCTGTCCAGTCATGCATCTTCGCAACACCTCCCCAAAGAATCACTTAATCCGTGATGACTTCAGATGATCTAGACTTTGAAATGCTTTGAGGACTTTTTTCCTTGAAGACATCACGATGGACATCCCATATGCTATAAATGGTGAATGGATGTTATCACCTTCTTTGCAATTGGTTCGGAACGTTACAAAAGTATGTAAACTACCTTGCAAAAGAAAGTATAGGTCATGTTTAAATTTCAATAAAAAATAGAATATGGTAGAGTGAGTGAGTGAGATTTTTTATTGTATCAATGTGTCAAACACATTTCAATATCTGCACATTGCAAGAGAATGACATAAAACGTTTGGAAATAATCAAGCGCTAAACACGTCTGGGTCATTATTTACCATTTTGGTCAATGTCTGAAAAAACAACAACGCCATTTTCAAGTTAACCAGACTTAAGTGATGATTTCAATGTTAAAATCGCGTGTGACCTCCTGCGGCTTCAATACAAGCCTGTACACGTCGTCTCATGGACGTTGTCAAACGTAGGATGACGTTACCTGGGATACGGCGCCATTCCTCTGTCAGGGCCTCTTTAAGCTCCTGGACGTTTTGTGGAGGGTGTTGGCGAAGTCGTAGTCGTCTGGCCAACTCGTCCAATAAATGTTCAATCGGGTTCATGTCCGGGGAACAAGCTGGCCAAGGCATAACATGAACATTGTGCTGATTAAGGAAATCTTGAGTGGCTCTTGCAGTGTGGGCTCTTGCGTTGTCATGCTGAAACAACGTTCCTCGTGGCTGATTGTTCAGGAACGGTAGTGCGACTGGTTCCAAAATTTGACGCCTGTATTCATTTGCGTTTAGATTTCCCTGGATTATCACCAAATCCGTTTTCTCATCACCGCAAGTGCCGCGTAATACCATTACGCCATCTCCGGCGTAAGGATGAACCTCACGAACACAATCGTTCGGGGCCAATCGTTCACCTCGACGCCTAAATACTCTCTCTCTGCCATCGTTGCTGAACAAACAAAATCGACTTTCATCACTAAAAAGTGCTCGTTGCCAATTTCGCACTTGCCACCGAAAACCTTTCTCGCCCAACGCAACCGCTTCTGTCGATGTCGAATGGTCAAGGCCATGCCGCGGAAGGGACGCCGAGCCCCGATTCCCGCTGCTCTCAATCTTCTCAACACTGCCCACATGCTGATGCGTCGACCCAACGTCTTTGCCGTCGTTGACGTTTCCGTCAAAAAGCAGTTTCGCAGGTGAAGGGTGCGGATGTAGCGGTCTTCTCGTTCGCTGGTGACACGTGGTCGCCCACTTCGTGGCCTGTCCTGAGTTCGCCCTGATGTATTGTACCGCTGGAACAATCTTGAAATGGTCAGGGGAGTGCAGCCGAACGTTCTTGCAATATGGGCTTGCGTGGCCCCCATATTTGCCATACCTATGGCTCTCTCTCTCTCTGCTCCTGGGTTAAACGTGGCATTACTTTAATGTGTTTGGTTCAGTGACATGGGAACATGTAAAAACGTCTGCTTTATACCCAAGTTCTGCACGTGCATTTTCGCATAGCACGAGAAAACGTGTTTTACCACTTTCTTACAGTGGTAGCGTTACCCTCATGTCGGTTGCGTTTTGGCTATATATTTATCACCATCTACACTTGGGCACATATCACTAGTATGTAGATTTTCATTTGTGTATAAAGATATTTTGAAAATTGAAAAATAGAAACATATACTTTCTTTTGCAAGGGAGTTTATTAAGTCTTGCCATATTCATAGTTTCAGGGTGTTTCAGGTTTATAAATAATTATCACAAAGAACACGCCAAACATTGATTTAGAGTGGTATGGAAAAAAGGCTCTTTGAACAGCTGGGACTTGTGTTCAGGCAGCAGGTTTTTGCGTGTTGTTCTGTGAGTTAATTGACTTGCCGCCCCCATACAGTGTCAGCTAATCTTTTGATTTCTTTCTTCAAAGCAACGTATATTGCGAGTGGACAATCTCTGCACCTGTTGGATGGAAAGTAAAGGTTGCAGTCAAGACTATTTCTATGGAATACGATTCATCCTGTTCTAAAGACTATGTGCTCTTCACAGATGGTAAGTACAATGTTCCCTTTAACAAATGTGCTTCCATATATTTTATATTTTCTTTGAATCTAATTGGTTTGCAATTATCAATACATGATTCTTTTCAAGGTTCAACGTCCTACGCCACTCGGTTGGGTAAATACTGTAGTGACGTCGCCGGCTACATCATCAGTTCCAGCAATGCCATGACCATCACTTTCCGCACGGACAGTTCTGTCACATACAAAGGATTTTCTCTGAGATACATTATGATTGCGCGGACGGCAGGTGCTTAAGTTTGTATTTATGTGTACTCGTTTCGTTTTTTGTGAACTATCGTATTTAAAGACATTTCTTCCACAACATTGTTTTCAAAACAATTGAAGAATATTATTGTGTTCAGATAATGCTGGGAAACCCCGCTGAAACATTATTTGGTTTTGGTTAACGTTCATGCTGATGCTGGACATGTTAGTTTGGCCCCATGTACATGTGTCTGGTTCAGACTCGATTGTCTACAGACTGCAAAAACAAATTTAAGTGTTACTTTTTTAAAACAAAATCAAACATCCAATTCTCTGAATAAACACTTTCCTCTGGTACGTAATAATGATCAACTTAATGACAATATCACTGCAAACATAATGAATGACTATTTCACGAATCAAACAAATAGGCAAAACTTAGTTATCCAGACAGGAACATTGAAGAAGTTGTATCGTATGCCGATAATTCTTCATGTCCCAAATCATTAAAAGGCAGTATTAATGTTTCAATTACAAACCCGCTGCACTGTCAAGTTGTCTAGCAACAGTTTTTGAAAAGTGCGTTTTCAAACACGTCTTCAATTATTGTAGAGATAACGACATAGTTTCTAATCCCATATCCGGATTCAAGCCAGGAGGTTTTACTGTTAAACAATTAACGTATCTGTATGATTTTATTGTCGGAAAAGTAGATATTGGAAATGAAATTAGAGCAGTATTTTGTCATGTAAGCAAAGGTTTCGACAGTGTTTGGCACAAGGGTATTATTTATAAATTGAAAGATGTGGTATAAAGAGTAATTTGTTAAAATTGTTGAGAGTTATCTTAAAAATAGAGAACAACTTGTCGTAATTAATGGATTTAAGTGGATTTAAATCTGGTAATAAAGCTGTCTTTGCTGGTGTACCCCAGGGTTCAGTATTGGGGTCGCTCTTGTTTATTGTTTACATAAATGATATATTTGAGTGAGTTAATATGAAACGTCGAATCGGCAATATCCCAGCCATATCGTGACAAAAACAATTCGTAGCTGCTATTGATATAACGATGATTTATTGCGAATTGTTGAATGGGCAGAACAATGTCAAGTATCTTTTAATACCAATAAGACAGAGTCAATACGCTTTACACGTAAATTACAACCAGCTGGTAATGTAATTCATTCTGTTCAAGGCTATAAACATTTAGGTCGTATACTTCAGCATGATTGCTCATGGAATGAACACATTAACGACTGTGCTAAAAAAGGTTGCACCAATGAATTGTCTCAAATATCGTTTAAACCGAAAAACATTAGAAACCATGTACAAACAGTTCATATTACCAGTTTTTGAATATTGCAGTCATATATGGGATAAGTGTACTGAACAGCAAGCAGGTATACTTGAAAAGCTCAATCTTGATGCTTTAAGAACCGTGTGTGGTGCCGTTCGTGGTACCAGCCATTATAAATTATACAAAGAAACTATTGTGTCACCCGTTGTGTCGTCGAAGATACCTTCATAAAATGACTATGTTTTACAAAATGGTCAATAACAGTACGCCAAGTTATCTTAGTAACCTTGTGCCGCCTGGAGTATCAAATGTCATTAATCTGCTCGATGATTCAAATCTCCAGATTCTAAACTGTAAAACTATAAATCATGCGAGTATTTTCCAGATACATGTACTCTTAAATTATGGAATTCATTACTAGCCGAACATAGTGAATTGAAGTGCATATTGAGATTCCAAAATGTAATTTTAAACGGCTTTAATATGTACAGTCATTTTGAAAGATTTGTATCTTCAGCATTATCTTGCCCTTGTGGCCATAACTATTAAGACTGTGATCGTTGTTTTTGTCATGTACAGTTTACAGAGATATGCGTCAAATGATGTATTTTTATACTACATAATTTGACCTAAAATCAATTTTGTTTGGAAACAAAAACTGTTCCCCAACAGTAAACAAAGAACTTTTAATTTCAGTCCACTCATATATAAATTTAACAGGCAGATTTGAAAAAAATAAATTTGTTTATATGACACACCGTTGATTAATGATTGTCGTTATTTCTCGTTTTTGCAACATTTATATATCATTGACATTGTACACTCATCATGACATGTTTACTCTTACACTGTATCCTGGAGCGATATTCATATAAGCGTATGCTTATTTACCAATCTGGTTCCTTTCATTGGAAATGAATGTGTTTAAATCAGAATGAACCCATCAATATATCAAACTACGTCCATATAATATGAACAAAACACATTAATTATTTTCAACATTACACCTGAAATATGGATTTATTATGAAAGGTTACTATACTATCATACTAGAACATCATCACAGAGAGGCGGGTATGTAGCCTTTTTGTTAAAGCATTTGCTCTCCACACCGAAGACATGGGTTCGACCCTCCACATGCGATACAACATGTGAAGCCCATTTCCGGTGTCTCCGTCGTTATGTTGCTGGAATATTCATAAAAGCAGCGTAAATACATACTCACTCATCAACTCAGCATGTTGCAGAACTGTTTAATATCACAGATATTCCTTCTTTGTTTCAGCGTGTCGCCATGATGATACGATAAGCTATGGCACAAAATATATTGAATCACCGAATTACCCCTCGTCCTATCCCGAGTAAGTATACGGCACACTTTTTAGGATAAACGCAGCAACACAGAGTTAAAACCTGGGGGATAAGACCACAACGAGTTTTCCATATGCAACATGCTTATTAGTTGCTGTCACTTCAAAAACAATATGAACCTTTCCTTTGTCTCCATACCTTTAGTCATACAGTTTGTAAATCGTATTTTCCGATTCATACCCCAAAGAACAGAAAGACAAGCACAAATAATCAACTGACTTTGAGACGGAACAATATGTCATACATATAATTCATTTCAGAGAAAAACAGCCGGATACATTAAAGCAACCTCTTTGAGAGGCATTAATCGGAGCAGTAAGGAAATATAACAATATATAAATGAACAATTTTTATACTAATAAAGAAGTTGTTCATCCATATATGGTTGCCCTTCCTTGAATTAAATCAGACAGAAATAACGAGATTAATCAACAATCTGGGCGAAGGAATACATGCTGTGGAATGCCGTGCAACAGGGTAAATATTAATTCCAACCAGGGAGGAAACTGAAAGTTTGTAGTCAGTTAACCCTGTTAACCCAGCACCATGACTCCATGTGACCAGTTTGATGTATGAGAATTCCAATGCCTGCGATGTTCATGCTATAATTTGTTTCAACTTCTGTACCGATTTTTTCTTTTCATATGTACATACGGAACACAAGGATAATACTAATGTCTATTTCAATGTCTATTTAGCAATGCGGACTGTGAGTGGACAATCAGCACATCCATTGTCGGATATGTTATCCACGTTGAAGTGGTGTATTTCAACATTGTGTACTCCAGCGGGTGTTCCGATGATTATGTACAGATCTATGACGGTAATGACTTGCGATTAATCATGGTTATCCTAGAAATGAGTAAAAGAAACATTTGCCTGAATTGAATTTAAGCTGCGTCCTTTTCGTCAAATTAGAAAACCTCAGTGACCTGTGTGGAGGGTTTTCCTTCCAATTTTAAGCTGGCACGTTGTTAAGCGGGTATGTTATCCACATTGACGAAGCACACAATAGACACAGATCTTGCTTAACAGCATCATTTGGATTAATCAAGTATTGTGATCTGTCCGAGCTCACCTGGGATTCTCGAGCATTAAGAATTCCACCTAATGTTATTATAATGGAGGCACATAGTGAAGTAAAATAATCATTTGGAATGACTAAATGTCAACTCCAAATAAGAACAAATTAAAGACATTTTTAAAGCAATGTATCTCCTAACACATTTTGTAAAATTATGCTTTCTGATGCTTTCTTTAATTATCATAATCTTCTCACATGCTATATTCTGTTAATAGTGACGAGTTTTGAAAGCTGGATTGGTCGATGGTGTGGAAGAGTTGGACCAAATACACAGACAACAGGGCGGACAATGAAGGTTAAATTCCACTCCGATGGTTCGACTTCCCTCTCGGGATTTAAGTTGTCCTTTACAGCCGGTGAACCAACATCTGACTGTACGTGTTTCGGTTTTATTCGTTCATTTCAGAATGCACTGGGGTAGCCCAGAGGTAAAAGCGTTCGCTCGTCACGCCGAAGATTCGCCACAATGTGTGAAACCCACATCTGGTTTTCCCACCTTGATATTGCTGGAATATTGCTGCAAGTGGCGTGCATGTTACTCGCTCAAAGCAGCCTTAAAGCATTCAGACACACACTGTTCCATCGTACCAGAATATTTAATCATGGTGTAGAGGGTGTAATTGTCGTTTCATGGTAATTGTCCTTTGACCTATGTCAGTTCAGGGTGACGTTGATCTAATGGCAGTTAATTCCTATATAGCTCAGCGTCATATTGTGATATTAATGCATATATTAACTGTAGTATAAAACATAACGGTTACCATTTTGTACACGAGAACCTCCTTATATTTATAAAAACCTTGAATTTGCCTGCTTACGGTGGGTTTTTCCATTTGTTTTATGTTTGTTTTGTTTATTGTGTGTGTTTTTGCTTTTAGGGAGGGGGGAGTGTTTTTCTTTGCTTGCTTTATATTTTGTTTTTTGTTGTTGATGTATTCTTTGATTTTTGCTTTTGTTTTTGTTGGTTTTTTGTTTGTTTTTATTTTGTTTTACGTTTCTTTTGTTTTCTTATTCAGCTGCTGCGTCCACGAACA